AATTCTACAGATACGGATGAACTGACTGATTAAGATTCCGTACATCCTCTGGATTTTTTATCAGACACAAGCTAACAAAGTCCTGGAATGGATTAGAAAAGCTTCCCCCAAGTACCGGTGGTTTTGCTTTTGGAATTAAAAACAGCACGCGCATTGGATGATATTCTGACAAAGGTGGTTCTCCTTTGGCCATTTCAATGGCTGTAATTCCTAACGACCAAATATCTGCCTATAAAAAGGAACAGCTCAATTACATTTCACATTCGACAATAGCATGAAAAAATATAAATACCTTATGGTCGTATCCTGCCTGTCTAATGACCTCTGGTGCCATCCAAAACTAAAAATGAAATCACAATTAACCAGAAAATATAAGAAAATTATGATATACAGGATTCAAGACTCACGGGTGTTCCAACGAAAGTATTTCGCCTACTTTTGCTGTTTGAAAGTTGAGCGGCAACACCAAAATCAGCTATAAAAGCATTTTATATAAATTGGATCTCAGCTTAATGCGAAAATATATAAGGGTCGTTGGTTAAGTTCAGCACTAACCTAATTTCACCTTTCCTTCTGCGGAGAGTAACACATTTGCGGCTTTGCATATTATAATATACGTGAGCCAAATAAAATTTAACTATTTAAATTAGCAGAATTTGAAAATATAACATACCTTTTATGTCTCTGTGTATTTTTCCTTCAATATGTAAGTACTCCAAGCCATATAAGAGTTCTCGGAGAATGATAGCAATGTGTTGTTCGTCAAACGGACCGGGTTTGAGCTGGGACAAAAAAAAAAAAAAAAAGATGATTTTTTAAAAGTCTGCCTTGTAACATTGGATAAAAGAGACGCGTCTTACCAGGTCCAAACATGATCCGCCGGAAAGATATTCCATTACTTAGAATACAATATTCATCGATTAATAAAAATACGCAAGGAACTATTTTATAAAAATAATTCAAAATAACTTACCTATCCATAATTTAAATCCTTTAACATACGAACCATAATAACGAGTGATATACGGTGAGTCGCACTGTGATAACACCGCTATTTCTTGTTGAATCTCACTTATATCATCATCTGAATCCTCCAAGTTAATTTGTTTAATAGCAACAACTTGACTGGTTTCTTTCCTTATACTTAGAATTAATGCATTTTATTTTTTTTTTTTACGATTAGTATACGCATATACGCAAGTATTTTTACGTAAAATACCCCCAAAACACATACGCCTTATAAACAGTTCCAAAGGAACCGGTACCAAGCTTTTCAAGCAATGTATAAAGCTCTTCAGGATCGTTTTCAGCCTGTATTCGACAGAAGAAATAACATATTCAAAGTTAAAGACAAGAAAGTAGCATACATCAAGAAAAAAGCGAGTAATACCATTTCAGAATTCACGAATATTTGTTTTCAAAGAAAAACTATGCCAGTCGTATACGTTAAATTATAAAATATTGTTGAGGGTGGCACGGCAGTAAGTTGAAGTTATATACAAATTTTAGAGGTCGTGAAATATTTTTATCACTACTACTTTCTGCCTAGTAAAACTCGGAAGTAAAAATCATAACACCGTTCATTCAATGTCGGTTCGATCGATTCCCTTAAAAAAGGTATGACCAGCTTATGACCTAATGATGGAAGGCAGGGAATCAGGGGGAAAGATCTACCATTCACGGGACAATTCAAGGAGTCCATTCCCGAAAATTAGATCCGTAACCAACAGGGAGGCTTCTTTTTTTCTAAGAATTACGTAAATTGATTTTTTAATATTATCATGATGAGTATTTTATTGCATTACCATTTGTAGAATGATTAATAAAAATTCTGGATGGTACAAAAAATATATATAACATTTTTTAATTGCAAATTATATAATAAATTGTAAAAGAATTATTTTTTTACATGTTATATTATTAGATTTAAGTTATTAATTACACAATGTGTCGATGCAAAGTAATCTTCAAAAAACCTTTGCCGTATGGAGATTTTTTTTTCGAATTTATTTCGTTGTATCAAGAATTAATTTCTTTTTTAAGACTAATATAAATTAACACATTTATAAATTATCATATATTGGTTTATTTATTTATAGAATTATTGTTTTTCAAAAAAATTATTTTTTTAAATATAATTTAAAGAATAAATATCTATACTTTTCAATTTAAAATTATATTACAATATAATAATGATAATTTATTTGTTAAATAATTAACTCGTTATTAATATATTAATTAATTAAATTGATAAAAAATTTATAAATAATTTTATAAATACATTTTCACATTTAATTTGAAAAAACAAAATTTATTTTCTATATAGTTTGAATTTTATCTTTAATTTATTTAATATTTAATTTATTAAATTATTTTATCAATTAATAAATTGATGAAATTAAATTATAAAAAAAAGATTTTAAAAACTATAGAAATATATTATTCAAAAAAATCAATAATACTTTTTAAAATTTTTATATTTTTAATAAAATTATTATACTTAAAAAAATACTTAATTTAATATAAATATATTTAACTTAAGATTATTAATCTTAATTAATAACTGTTTTTTTTTTTAATTATTAATTATAATTTCTACTTATTAGTTCTATTTTAAATCTTATTATATATAGTATATGATACAAATTATATTTAATTAAGTTATTAAAATAAAACAATTTAATAAAATTTAATAATAATAAATATAATATAATTTAATAATAATAAATATAATATAATATGTATATATCATTTAATTTTTTTTTTTAATTTAATTAATAAGTATATATATTATATTTTATAAACTTTTTATTTTTTTATCAGTATATATAAAGGATTTCTATATATATTTTTATATTTAGATTAATCTTATTTATATTTAACTATCTCAATAATATTTTTTCCTATTTTAACTAATATTTACATATTTAAAAAAATTCATAAAAAATTTTTTTTAATTCTTAGTTTAATATATATAATAAATTAAATTTTAAAATTTTAAAAAATAAAATTATAATAAAATTTTTATATTTTTAATAATAAGTAAAAAGATTAATTAATAATATAATTAATAACAACTGACAATAAAAAAAAACTCTTTCCACTGATCTTCTGACCACACACAAAAAAGATATTTGTAAAAAGTTTTATATTTCTTTGCTAATAAAGTCTTTATACTTTTATTAAAACAACTTGAAGCTTGTTTTTATTTATCTCTCCTATCCTCCCTTACTTGTTTATAAACTTCTTTGAATAAAAACTTGAGTCTCTAGTGATCTGAAAAGACTCAAGTACACACTTTCTTTACTAAAGGCAAGAAGATTCTAGGAAGAAAAAGGACTGACAAGTGGAGTATCACCTTACAGAGTTAGAAGTGATAAGATATAGAGGTTTTGTTGACAGGAAAAGACTTATTTTCCACCTTCTTACATACTGTCTTATACCCTTTTAAAGTACTTATTGTTTTTCATAGTTTTCTTGAGAAATTTTAACCTATCTCAGTTTGATCTTGAATTTTTGGTAGCACAATGTCACCTGCCATCTGATTGGTTAATATGAAACACATTAGTAACTGAATATAAACAAGCTTCTATTGGTTATCTCATATATTTCAATGATGTTATTGGTTATTGAAAGAGAAATCAAAGATATAAACTCCTCCATTTCTTTAAATGAAGTTTAACTAAAACAAAGAAATCATAAGGTCATTAAGATGGACACTAAATTTCCTAGATGGAGAAAAGATAATTATTTGTTCAAATCAAGGTCTTCAACTTCTTATCATCCCAGTCAGATAAAGTATGCGAAAAAAGTTATTTCCTTATTCCGGTCAGGCTATAAGACCAAAAAGTAGAAGAATATAAAACACTGCCTTTTCTAAGATTGAGAATATATTTCTCCAAATATTATATAAGGATATTATAATCAAAATAAATACTGGTAAAATTCCTTTAATTAGGCATGGCAACTGAAAGATATCGGGAATTACTTAACAAGATTGAAAAGCCACATAAGAACCTGGGATTCACCATTAGTTGTCTTCTTCTGCGTGAGTAAATACAAAATCAAGATTAAAAGAAAGAAAGAGTTGAGCAAGATACTGGATCTGAATAGGTAATAAGTATCTCAGACAGTTATAAGAAAATAATCAAGAGCACAGATGGATAAGTTCCTCAAATAGTTAGAAAGAAGAAGAATATCACAGAAGGGTTAACTCCTAATGAGAAGAGATTTTTAGCAAAGGCTTTGGAGGACATGGAGCATTTTATTTTTCTTTTTTTTCTTTCATTTTCATATAATACATTTGCACATTTTTAGATATTCCCTTTTCTTTTCTTTTTCCTTTTTCTTTTTGTAGTTTCTTAAATTCAGTTCTTTGAAGTATAATAAGCAGTAACAACCTGTTGGCAATAATGGATAAGTTAGGAGGATTTTCATCCAAAACTTGATCCAGAGCAAAATATTATTCCCAAGGTTGCACTTAGAGACTGAAGCTCTTCTAAAAATTGAAAGCCATTGACAAGTATATCAGTACGAGTTTTTTAGTTTAACTATAATACAATTGCCTTATGTATCTCATCAGTTTTCTTAATGATTAATAAACACACAGTACTAATCTAATCATAGGTTAAAAAAAAAATTTTTTTTAATTAATAATATAATTATAATGAAATTAATAATAATTAATAAGATCAATTAATAGTAAAATTAAAATGATTTATTATATATAATAAAATCAAAAATTTTATTATATATATGTTTTAAATAATAGATCTATGGGTCTGTAGTACAGTGGTTAGCACTTTGTAGGTTAGATTACAAGATGCAGGTTCAAATCCTCTAGGAGACTAATGTGATTTCTCTGTTTACAAGCAAGTGGAATCTGGCAAATCATCCATTGGTCTAACCATATATAACCAATATTTTTGAATATAATTGGTGCAAATCAAGATAATTGACAACTTTCACTGATCCTTGCCAAAAAATCAAGATCTTTGTAATACAGGATGGTCCATACAAAGATTGTGATCAGATCACTATCCAAAATTGAGTAGGATTATTCTTAATAGGACCCCATTATTACCTGCTAATAGTAATTACAATGGATCGAATCAGATCAGATTTTAACTAGATTCGATCCGATTTATTTTAAACTGATCCAATTTAATTTGAAACCATAACAGTTTGATCCGATCCGATTTGAATCTGAATTTGATTTGATTCAATCTGATCCAAATCCGAATTTAAATCTGATTCGAAATTGAATCTGATTCAGATTCATTGCAAAAACAACTTGAAACTGATTTGATATATTTTGAATTTGTTTCAAAGTATATTTCACTATAACTGCTTTAATTTAACTAAATTAAATTAAATATGTTTAAATTAATCTAGCTTTATTTTAATAAAAAATTTTTAACTAGTATATTTTCTTTCAGTAGTATTTTTTAATTTTAAATT